AGGGACTGCGCGGCGCTGAGGGGGACAGGGGGGAGGAAGGGAGGGTGAGCCGTCAAGGGCAGACCACCTGTGAGTTGTTAATATCACACCACGTCCCAGGCATCTCCTTGCTGGGATCCTCTCTTCTGCTTTTTCCTCATTCTGCACCCCAGCTCTTTCCCTGTCTTCAAAAAATAATCTCATCATGAAAAATGAATTTTAAATGTGGTCATTACTTATTGATACCCCTCCCTCTGCTTCCAGCGGGGCGTGAAGCTGAGGGTAATTATAGGCACAGGCAGGGGCCTGTTGCTTGTTTTTTTTTTGTTTGTTTGTTTGTTTTGTTTTTTTTAAATTTTAATATATTTTTATTGACTTCAGAGAGGAAGGGAGAGGGAGAGAGAGAAACATCAATGATGAGAGAGAATCATGGATCGGCTGCCTCCTGCACGCCCCCTACTGGGGATCCAGCCTGCAACCCGGGCATGCGCCCCTGACTGGAACGGAACCTGGGACCCTTCGGTCCGTAGGCCGACGCTGTATCCACTGAGCCAAACCGGGCAGACCTGTTGCTTGTTGACCGGGGAATCACACCAAGTTCGAGCTGGAGAGGGCCTTGGAGGTCACCCAGCCCATCCATCCCCTCGTTCTAACTATGGGGACATGAGGCCTGGGTGGGAGACGCTTGCCGTGAGCCTGCAGGTGCCCTGCTCTGGGAGACTGAGCCGCAAGCAGCCCAGCCTGGTCCCCGCCCCCAGGGGGCACCCCTTCTACTGGGGAGACATGGCACGTGGTTCTTGCTCCCGTGTGGCTGCCGGAGCCCAGACCTCGTGCACGTGGTGGGTGTGGGACTTAGCGGGGGCCCCTGACACCGGCCAGCGGCCCTTTCTGCGGCTACGTCTCAGGCCAAGGGACGCCCACTCGGGGACGATTGCCCGGAGGCACAGCAGCTGGTGCAGGTCAGGCGGCCCTTCCTGACACCTGTGCTCGGAGACAGAAAACTGTTGGGCGTGTGGGTGCTGCTCCTGGAAATGGTGAACGGCGGTGGGTGGCAGGGACAGAGCAGAGGGATGAAACCAAAGGTCTCTGGGCGCAGCCAACTATGGACCCGAAGGGGCCCAAGCCGGGGTGTGGAGGAGACCCAGGCCTGGGTGGATTCTGGGCAGGGAGAGGGGGTTGGCAGGTTGCAGGTCCAGGGCTCCGTCTGAGGGTTCCTGAGGTCACTCAGTGGCTGATGGCAATGGGAGAAGATGAACTTAAACCTGGGGTAGAATCTGCAGGGGGAAAAAACCCTGGCTGGTTGCTCAGTGTTTAGAGTGCCAGCCCGCAGAGCAAAGGGTCGTGGGATCGATTCCCAGTCAAGGGCATGTTCCTCGATAGCAGGTTTGATCACTGGCCCCAGCCTAGGCTGGTTCAGGAAGCAGTGTGTGTGTGTGGGAATCATTGGGTGATGCCCCAGCTGGTGTGGTTCAGTGAATAGAGTGTCAGCCTGCAGACGGAAGGGTCCTGGGTTTGATTCCAGTCAGGGGCACATCAGGGTTGTGGGCTCGATCCCCAGTAGGGGTCGTGCAGGAGGTAGCCGATCCATGATTCTCTCTCATCATTGATGCTTCTATCTTTCTCTCCCTCTTCTTTCCTCTCTGAATTCAATAAAAAAATATTTAAAAAAAATCATTGGGTGAGGATTTTTTTTAAAAAAAAGAAGAATCATCAGGGAGGAGGTAAAGGCATGGCTTCGGAGTCAGCCTCTCCAGAGTCTGAATCCCAGCTTTGCCTTTTTCTGGGTATGTGGCCTCAGGCGCATTTACCGATCTCTGTTTTCCCATCTATGTGCTGGGGGCATGGGCACCCACTCATGGGGTGGCTGTGGGGGGCAGTGAGGTAACCCTGCATATCTGGGGCCCAGCAGAGTGCCCAGCCCTTGGTGGGCACAATGCAAAACTGGGACAGTATGATTTATATGAGAAGATAGAATTCTCAGAGCCGGGGACGGAGGAGCCATGCCTGGAAGAGGGGAGGCCTAGACTAGGGATCAGGAGCAAGGGGGTCTCTGTGCCTTGGCTCCCGAGTGGGAACCAGCTGGTCTCTGTGCCGCTGGAATTGCTGGCTTGGTGGGAGAGACTCCTGACAGTTTGGGGTGTCTCCTTCTGGCTCCTGTCCCACCCCCATACCCTCTTTTCCTGCGTCCCATAAAGACCCTCCCCTGATCCCTCTCAGCCCAGCAGATAAGCTGGCACTTTCAAAGGCCTGTCATTTCTGACAAAATGACAGCAGGAAGACAATTATGGAAATTGAAATGGCACGAAATGGTCGTTTCCAAAGTCCAGGCTTCTGGTCTGACACTGTGGCCTACAAAAATGGCACATTGATTTTTCAAACAAGAGAGAAATGAGAGGAAAGATGTATCACACTGCACTGCTAAGTGCTGATGGCGGGAGCTGTGGCCGGAGCGGCCCTGTGACCCTGTGACCTGGCTGTGTCCCTGCCAGAGGCACCCTGACTCCGTAAACCAGGCTGGGCTCTCGGCCCCGCCTCTGTCCTCGCTCTCTGTGTGTGTCTTTCCTGCCCCTCCTTCCTGTCTTACCACTTTTCCTGCCCCTACTACTGTGTTTCCCCGAAAATAAGACATCCTCTGAAAATAAGACCTACTTACAGGTTTCCTTCTGAGTGAAATATAAGGCATCCCCCGAAAATAAGGCCCCCCAGGCTAAACATGAGAGATTTGGTCCACTGATTCTGAAAGAAATGGAGTCACAAGAAATTCACCAGGAAATTCAGGAATTGGATTGTTATGATGATGTTCCAGAAGATGATGACATGATTGTCATTGAATAAATGAGTAAATTCTTGATACTGTAGGATTCACAGTTTGTCTGGTTTGTGTTGACAACTACCGTACTGCCGTACCGTATACAGGTAATAAATTTCCTTTATTTTCATTTAACAATAAATGTGTACCATATTCTTCTTTATGGAAAAATGAGACATCCCCTGAAAATAAGACCTAGCGCATCTTTGGGAGCAAAAATTAATATAAGACACTGTCTTATTTTCAGGGAAACGGGGTATGTGCAGGCATGTGACAAAGCAGCCCTGCCTCAAGGATGCTTCCCGTTCAGTTGGGGAGGCAGATCTTTAAGTGAATAAATGCCCAAAAGCCAGCTGGTGGACTGCGTGTATTGGCCTTACCTGGCAAACCGCCCACTCACCCACAGCTCGGTCTTCCCTGAACATTTATAAAAAAAAAAAAAAAAAAAAAGCTTTGGGTCCTGAAATCTGTGTGTGTGTGTGTATGTGTGTATGTGTGTGTATGTGTGTGTATGTGTGTGTATGTGTGTGTGTGTGTGTGTGTGTGCATTCTGTAAATAAGTCTACAGGTAATTTTATTGCGTTTCCAGGTTTGGGAACTTGGACTTCAAAGGGTCAGGCGTTTGTGGTCCAAGTGTGTGGAGGGCTCTGTGGGGACATAAAGGGGAGCATCAAGGAAGGCTTCATGGAGGAGGTGGTCCTTGTGCTGACTCTTGACCGCATCGAGGTGACGGAGGATGTGTATGAGCGGGTGGGTGGGGGCTCCCCAGGATGAAGGAAGACCGAGTGCAGAGGATGGAGGTAAAAACAGCCCCTTTCAGGAATAAGCGTGGGAAAGCCGATGGAGATGGTGGTGGAGCTGGGATCAAGCCGCTCCTGATGTGGCCCACCTCAGCCGGGCAGAGCCTCCGTGAGCTCTGTGGGGCTTTATGGGACCTGGCCGGGCAGGTTGTCGCAGGTCTGAGTGGGTCTCCCTGGTCAACCCCTTCTCATGGTCAGTGAAAGCAACGCCGCTGACGGCCTCTGGGTCCTCCAGCAAGGATTGGGGGGCTGAGCCTGGCCGCCAGGAGCATCACAGTGAAGTCCTGACAGCTCGCAGGCGGTGGCCAGGGCTCCCAGAGTCGGAAGACGTGGGAAGACAGATTCTCTTTCTCTGATTCCGAATGGTTTCATGCTGACCTAGAACTTGGTTATGCTGCTAACTAATTTAACAGGTTGGTTAGCATCATGCCTGGTGCATAGTAAGTGCTCAATAATGTTAGCTATTGCCCTGCTGGTGTGGCTCAGTGGCTGAGTGTGGACCCAGGAGCCAAGAGGTCAACGGTTGGGTTCCGGTCAGGGCACATGCCCAAGTTGCGGGCTTGACTCTCAGTAGGGGGCGTGCAAGAGGCAGCCAATCATGATGTTTCTCTCTCATGAATGCTTCTAGCTCTCTAGCCTTCTCCCTTCCTCTCTCTCTCTCTCTCAAAATCAATAAAAACATATTTAAAAAAATAACGTTACCTATTATGATGTTCTTATTCATTCATTTATTTACTCTCTTTCTCTTTCATTTTTCCACTTACCGTATTTTTCAGACCATAAGACGCTCCGGACCATAAGACGCACCAGTTTTTAGAGAAGGGAAATGAAGAAAAAAAGATTCTGAAACAAATAGTGTCCTAAAATATTTTATGTGCATTAAAACCCAACATCACAGTCATAAACACATGTAATCAACCCTGTAAAGTAAACAGCAGCATTTAAAACCATTTTAGAGCCGGGCAAGCACACAGAGACCACACAGAGCCGGGCAAGTAAAAAAACTTTTTTTTAAAAGTATATGTGTAGGCTATATTTGGACCATAAGACGCAGGGACTTTTCCCCCCCACTTCTGGGGGGAAAAAAGTGGGTCTTATGGTCCAAAAAATACGGTATTCATTCATTCACTCATCCACCCCAGTTCACTCACTAATTCAGCACCAGTTCATTACATACCTGCTCTTTGTCTATCTATGCTGGGCTTACCTGCGCCCAAACCCCTCCTGTGATTGAACTTAGGTCAACCTGAGTCTGGGCATTCAGACACACTCCTGTGTACCTGCGCACTGGTGCCTCCCCTGACAGCAGTGCCGCTCACCCAAACAAGGGAGAGCCGACGGCCCCTGGGCGACCTCTTGTAGCCTTCAACCTGCTTCTCCAAGGCGGCCGTGAGAAATCAGAGCCACGCATATTTATCGATTTAAATCATTTATTTGTATATCTCTCAGACTTCCAAGACTTAGGGGAAAGAATGATAACAGGGAAGGTGTCAGTAAAACGTCAAAGGAGTGACTTCTGCAGGAACTCAGAGAAGGGGTGGCAGTCAGGGTGGGCTTCCTGGAGGAGGCGTCCATGAGACAGGGAGAACGGCCTGAGCAGGGACCCAGCAGAGCCGCTGAGAGAGGTGGGGTGGCCCGGGGCCGGGGGGCAGGCCTGCCCCCCTAGTCGGGGAAGAGCAGGAAGCCAGAGAAGACGCTGTCGGAGCCCTCGGTGCCCACCATGCCGTTGTAGTCGTTGACCCGCAGCCACACCTGCGCGCCCTGCCGCAGCTGCAGCAGCACGCCCCCGGAGCTGACCTGCTTGGTGTTGGACATGTGGTCGCAGAAGGAGGTCATCTGGACGTCGTCGCGGTACAGCTGCACGCACAGGTTGGCCGTCTGGGACGTGTGGTGGACGAAGTAGTAGAGGCCGGGGACCTTGCAGGTGAACTTGCCCGTGCTCGTGTTGTAGTCCCCCTGCGGGTTCGTGATGACCGTGTTGAACTTGACCAGGCTGTTGGACGCCGGGTGCTCCGCTGTCTGCCGCGTGACGGTGAACACCGACTGGTGCTTCTGCTTGTATCTGCCCTCCTCTCCCGGCTCCCCGTTGGGGCCCATGGTGCCGGGAGTGCCCGGCTGCCCGGAGGCGCCCATGGGGCCGTTTTTCCCGGGAAAGCCAGGCATGCCGGGTTCTCCCTTCTGACCCTTGGGTCCTCGGGTCCCAGGAATGGCTGGGATTCCTGGGGAGAGAGCAGGTGGGAAGTGATGGGGCAGGGGACGGGGCAAAGGGACCCTGGGGCTGTCCTCCAGGGACACACTCCAGGCGTTTGTTCTCTGAAACCTTCTTCCCCCAGATGTGCTGTCCACTGGGAGCAGTGTGCAGGGAGTGAAAGGGGTGGCCAGAGGGGAAGCAGACCCCCTCCCACAGACCTGCCCTGAGAACTTGGTGAAGGCACCTGTCTCTTGGCCTCAGTTTCCACATTCGTGCTGGGGTGGGTAGGACTCGCCGGCTCAGGAGGTGCCCAGGGCAAGATCTCAGAGTGTCAGAGGCCAAGACTGTCAGCCCACAGACAGCACATGGCCTCAGAGGCCATCTGTTGGGCCTGCACGACTTTAAAAAAAAACAAAAAACTTTATTTAGAGCCCTATGATAACAAATTCAGGCCTCACCCAGAAGCCTAGGTCCTTCGTTTTTCTTGACAAAAAGAAGAAGCTTGGTCACAGGCAGATTTCCCGGAAAGCTCAGGAAACTTGTTTCGGGCCCTGTTCACTGGCATTGGCTTCTTCGAGGCCCTTTGCCTGGTTTTATATTTATAATTTTTTCAACATTTTTATGTTGAAATAATTATAGATTCAAAGGAAGTTGTAAAAAAAAAAAAAAAAAAAAAGTCAGGAAGGTCCCATATGCCCTTCACCTACTTTCCCCCAGTGGCACATCCTGCAGAGCTGAAGCACAACATCAAACCGGGAAATCGACCTCCGTGTGATCCACATGGCTCCCCTTTCCCACGTGCTGTGTGTGTGTGTGTGTGTGTGTGTGTGTGCGCACGCGTGTGTGGTTCTAATACAATTCTGCAGCATGTGTAGGTTTGTGTAGCACCCCTCCCTGCCTTTCAAATGCATCCCTAATTTTGTATTATTTTTCTTAAAGAGGGCCTTCGCCATTTTATAAGTTGCCGAGCCCTACAAAACCTGTATCTATTCCTCTAGCCAGCTTAGCACATGGGAACCACTGGATGGAGCCAAAGGGAGCCTGCCCCTTTAAGGGGGCTGCTCTCTCTCCAGCTCCCCCAGCCCCACTCAGCCCAGGTCAGCCCCTGGTTCACCTTCCCTCGTGTTGAAGATGAGGCCACGGAGGCCAGAGCTCGGCCGAGGCCATGGAGCTGGTGTGAGGCGGAGTTTAGACTCAAAGTCAAGTCCAGCTGAGTTGCAGCCGGATTGTCTGATTCTCGCGTGTGACTGCCCTGATCATCTGCGCGTCTGTGAGATTCATCTCCTCTGGTCCAAACCATGATCATTTTTTAGGGCCTGATGCCAGACTCTTCTTCCAGGAAGCCCTCCCTGACCACCCTTGTCTGCCCCCATGGCCGTTTCCTCCTCTGACTTCCTCCTACGAGGGGGTAGTCTGTGCAAACCTCTCTGCGACAGATCCTCTATGACTTGTGAGCCTTTTAGGTCCAGGGTTACGAGTGGGGGCTCAGGACCCAATAGACCTAGGCTTCAGGCCGTGTGACCTCCCTCTGTTGACCAGTTGAGATAAGGGCATAATGGGGGGGATCCCACCGAGCTGCTGGGAGAGTGGGGTGGGAGGATGCAGGCGCCTCTCAGTAAGGACTCAGTTATGTCAGGGCCCTGCCATGGCTGAGCAGGGCCCACTCTCATCTTTTGGTTGGGAGGGCAGGACTCTGCAGGGGGCAGGGGACCTGAGAGGCAGGGAGAGAAGCAGTGAAGGGAACGACCTGTGGAGCTGGACAGGATCCTACTGTGCGACTTCAGGCTGGTTACCCAATCTCTCTGAACCTCAGCTTTGACACTTATAAAACGGGAGTGCATCACTCCTTCAACGGGTTTTGGCCTCAGTTTCCTCGTTTCCAAAGGAGTTAACAATTTTATCTGCGCCATTTGGAACCGGGCCTGGCACAAGTAGGAGGTCAAAAATGGGTAGCCCTCAGGCACCCTGGGCAGTAAGGAGGCCAGAGATTCAGGCTCCCCCAAAATGGCACCCCCAGGATTCTCACGCAGCTCACCCCGAATTGCAGACTTCCTGCTGGGATGCTGGTAAAATTCCACTCCATTGCCAGGAGGGAAGCTGATAGGGAGGGAATTCTAAGGACATTCCTCTCCAAGGCCCCCACCCCCCAACCTCTGCCTCCCAGTCACCTCTGCCCACCCCCACCCCCGCCTCACACGTGCCACCTCCAGACACGCTCCGCTTCCCAGATAGGCTCCTACTTTCAAACGAGGCACCAGAGACTCCAGTCCCGCCCAGTGTCAGGCCCCCCCACCCCCCTCATGCTGGAGCTTGTCGTGGAATCTCCGACAGGAGGTCCTGTGCCTGTGGCCCTGACTCCACTCTCCCCACCCCTCCAACTACCAGACCCCGGGGAGCACAGATTTCTGATGAAAACAGTGATGACAACAGCAGCACCTACCATAGCCTACACTTATCCCATGCTGACCACAGCTTGGTGCTGTTTTATATTTAAATGGCATCACCATAGCATCCCTGCGCAGTAGGCACTGCCACCTCCCCATTTTACAGGTGGGGAAACTGAGGCTCTGGCTATTAAGCAAGTCACTTGCACAAGGTCACACAGTAGGAAGTGGTGGGGCTGAGATTTGAACTCGGCTCGTCTGTGCTTTGGCTTCATTCACTATGGGGGTCCCCCCCCCACTTCCCCAAGGGCCCATGGTGCAGGGCAAGAAGTGGAGGGGTGCTGACCAAACAGGAGCCTAGCACTCTAGGTCACACATAGATCCTGTCCTGTGGGGCAGGAGCTTGTCCCTCTCCCTGCCATCAGATGAGGACTCTGGGGGGCGGGGCGGGTCTGAGGCCTGGGCCCTGACGACAGAGGGGCTATACCTGCTGTGAGCGCTGGGCTCTCTCTGTCCAGGGAGCAGTGCAGCAGGAGGGACCACACTCCTTGCCATCTAGTTGCCAACCTTTCCCCTCCACTCCTGCCCCCTGCCCCTAGGCCCTAGGTGACCCCTCCCCGCCAGGCCAGCCCACTCACCTGGTTCACCCTTAGGCCCTTGCAGCCCGTCATGCCCGTCCTTCCCTGGGGCCCCGGGCATGCCGGGCATTCCCGGGATGCCGTAGCATTCTGTGGCGGCCAGGCCCCCGAGGGGCAGTGCCAGGAGCAGCAGCAGCAGCAGGTTCAGCCAGAGGCAGGGCCGCAGGGTGCTGGTGCCCCTGTCCATCCTGGGGAAGGAGGTGGGTGGCAAAAGCTCTGTCGGCCCACCAGCCCCTCGCCCACCTCCTCACCGTCCCCCTCCAGGGCTCACCCCTCTCCGCCCTCAGGAACCTCCCTCCCTTCCCGGGGCCCCTCACCCTTGGGACCACATGATGGAGGCGCAGTGGGGTCACTTCTTTGAGCTCAGAGAGGATGGGGACCCTCCTTCCTCACCAATCAGGCTGTCCCTGGGGCCACATCTCAGGAAGGGGGTGGGAGAAACGCTCCCCGCTGCCCTCACCCGGACAGGAGCCCTGCTCACCTGGGGTGGGAGGCTTCTGGTCTGGTCCCTGAGGCGCCCTCCGATCTGCTTCCCTCTCCCGGGCAGGAGGACACGGTGTCGGAGCGGACGGAGCGAGGAGGGCCCGGAGCGGACTGGGCGGCCCCCTCCTTCCCCCTCCCCCTCCCCCCAGTCCCACATCCCCTTTCCCATGTTTTCCCTGACTCAGTACTTTCTTTCGGGTGCTGAGCCAGGCTGACCGCAGTGACACCCTGTGCCCTCCGCCCCGGTCGTAAGGGAAGGTCCCCACTCCGGATCCGGGAAGGGTGTGTGTATGTCTGTGTCCGTAAACACGAGCCTCCCGGGCAGACTTCCCCTCCGTGTGGCCAGCCCCTGACCTGGCCGTCCCCGTTTGCGGCATTCGCTCTGCCTGAGACTCAGCTGTTTCTCAGTGTCACAGGAGGAAGTTGTGACCTCCTCACGGATGGGGAAACTGAGGCTCAGGGGGGTGCAGGCCTCGGCCCAAAGTCACGGCCGGAGTGGAGTCTGGGGGTCCAAAGCCCTTGCTCTCACCCCTCTGCTTAGCTGCCCCCAGAAACCATCCTCATATATGCACTGGTCAAGTGGCAGGACTTAATCTAGAAAATTCCATACCCCCTCCCACCCCCCTATGTTAGTTAGGGGGCGGACACCCGGATGGGCAAGATTTGATGGCAGGCAGCCTGCTGTGTTGGACAGAATTCTCTGGCTCCAGAGCCGGCGGCTTCTGGGTCTCCTTCCAGCCAGGCCACCCCCTTCCCTGAGGCCTTCAGCAAACCTCTGACACCCCCACTTCCCTGGGGCCCCAGCCTCCGGCCTGTGTGCTGGGTGGTGGGGAGGCTGGGGCCCCTCTTCCTCTGCCCCGGCCCCTGAGGGCCTCGCCTCTCCTTCCTCACCGCTTCTTCTTCTTCACCCCCATCCCCAGCACCCGCCTTTGGTCTTGGTGGGGTTGCCAGTGGGGTCGAGCAGGCAGAGCTGAGCGAGGCCCCCTCCTCTCTTTAGAGTCATGGAGGAAGGAAGTGTTGGGCTGCAGAGGGTCCAACCCCGGCCCCATTCCCGCCCCCTATGTCCCTCGTGCGGGTTTCCCCTCTGTAGATGGGGCGGGGAGGGGCTCCACTAGCTCCGTGCAGGGCAGTGTGAGGTCTCTGTCTGACAGATGTACCCATGATACTTAGCCCTGCGCTGGGCATGAGCAGAGGTTCAGAGCCCTGCCCCTGCCCCCCAGCTGACCCTCAGGACCACAGCTTCCCCCTCTGTTCCTCCGAACGTTGGCACGGGGCTGCAGAGGGGGGACGAGAGTGAAGAAGTGAGTGCCCCTGACCCTGGGCGTCTGGGGCGAATGGAGGGACGGCACCTGAGCGCCCTTCTTCCTCGCCTCCTTCACGCCTGGGTCTGGTGTGTCCAGCAGATGGCAGCCTCGGCCCGCGCTCAGCCTTCCCCGCCTCGCCTGCCTGGTCCGGCTGCCTTCCTCTCTCCCGGAGGCACAGTGATTTGCCTCCCCAGAGGCGGGCAGGTAGGGGTGGCCTTTAGGGTAAGGAGCCACCTGCAGCCACGTTCCTATAGCCTGGTCTCTTTGCCACTATGGGGCTCCCCCGCTGACACTTCCTTTGGGGCCCGCTGCAGTGAAAGAACCTCCACTTTGGGGTCAGGCAGAGCTGGTTCAGATCGAGGCCCTGCCACTCTCTGGCATGGTGACCTTGAGTCAATGTCCCCCTTCTCAGAGCCCGTGTCCTCGCCGACATTGCTGGGCTTACACACATCAGTGACCATAAAATGTCCGGCACACAGGAGGTGCTCAGGGCCCTGTACCTTTTCCGAGTCCGCGGTGGGGGTGTTCCTGGGGCTGGGGGCCTGCTGGGGCAGAGCAGAACCCAATGGGGCGCTGAGGGCCTGTGGAGTTCATCGCTGCCCCGCGGGCACCTGGGTCACTCTCTTCTTCTGGCTCCCAAAGGTTGTTGGGGGGCAGCCCCAGGAGAGGGTCCTGACTGTCAGAGACAGAGGTGGGGGGGGGGGGGTGTGCATACGTGAGACTCCGAGGCTGCTTGTGTGTCAGTGGATGGGAGAGACGGTCCCTGGGAGGTGTCAGCACATATGGAGGTCAATGTGTGAGCAAACACGGGCATTTCTAAGGCACATGCATGTCAGGGGTGTGTCCGGACACCTGTCTTAAGGTGTGTGTGTGTAAGAGTTACTTCTGATGGTTTCAGGGAACACTCAGGTGAATGAGGCAGGGGTGTGTGGGTATGATGGCGTGTGTATCCCCAGGGTATGAAGGCATCAGTCATGTGGATGTTCAGGAGTGTACATGGGTGTGTCTAGGAAAATGGGCGTGTGCTGAGGGAGGGGATCATGTGTTCATGTTTCAGTGAGGAGTGGACAAGTCTTGGTCCAGGAATGTGGGTCCCTGTGCATTTCACGGGAGTTGTACATGGATGCTGTGGTATGGTGTGTGTGTGTGTGTGTGTGTGTGTGTGTGTGTGTGGTGTGTATGCATGCCTGGTGTGTTTGTGTGTAGCGTGGTGTGTGTGTGGTGTGTATGCATGCCTGGTGTGTTTGTGTGTGTGCACATGTGTGTGCATACATGCAACACAGAGATAAAACTGCTCCCTCTGGGGAAACGCACAGGGCCTTGGGCATGTTCAGGACTGCACTTCAGGTCTCCTTGTTCTCCTCGCAGACAAAGGACACGCTGGGGCTTCTCGCTCCTGGCAGCTCCCGGACTGGCCACGTGGGAATGAGCCACAGACATTGCAGATCCACTGTGCTCCCCCTGCCCCGCCTCCACATCTGCCAGGATGGACCAGGGCTGGACTCAGGAAGCTGCCTTTGGGGAGGACTTCTGGGTGCCCTGGGCCAATGGCTCCCCCTCCCTGAGCCCTGCCGCAGTCTCCCTGGGTCCGCGTGGAAAGCAAGGCCATGGTCAGTGTGTGGCCGTGGAGGCTGACGAGGAGAGCGGTTAAACACACAGGCTTGGGCCCTTGGAAGGCCTGGAGTCATATCCCAGCTCCTCCCCTTGCACACTGACCTGGGCTTTGTGTCTAGCCCCAACTCCCAGCCTCCGTTTTATTATCTGCAAAATAGGGTCATAATACCCACTTCAGAGCTGGATGGCAAAGATTACACAAAATGCAATAATAGCTAAAACTGACATAGCCTTCACAATGAACCAGGCTCTGCACTGCAACTTTCATACATTAAATCATTTCATCTTCCAACAGCCCTTGGAGGTGGGTGCTATTATTCTCCCCACTTTACAGACTAGAAAACTGAGGCTCACGGAAGTTACATAACATGCCCACGATTGGACAACCGGTACACGGTGGCCCAGGGATTTGAACCCGGGCCTCTGAGGCTCCCAGGACCTGTCAGATACGTATTGCAAAATACCGAGATTGGGCCTGCCTTGTAAACACTCAACAGTTGTCATTCTTAAGCCTCCCTCCCAGTGCCCAGGGTAGCAACCGAGCCTCACACCAGCAGACGGGGACACAGTTATTTATTTATTCCAGGAAGAGTTCTAAGAAACGATCTCCCCCTAGCTCAAACAACAGCGCCCCCACGTGACAGAGCAGAGCACAGGACCAGAGAGGCGGAGCGAGTGGGCCGGGGTTGCACAGCGGGGAGCAGGGGAGGCCCAGGCGGGAAGGGGTCCCCCCTGGCTCAGGAGGAGGGGAAGATGAGGAAGCCGCTGAAGACGCTGTCGGCCTCGGGGCCCTGGTAGATGCGGCCCTTGACGGGGTCTTTCTCGATCCAGACCTGGTCCCCGTTCTGCAGCTGCAGCACGGTGCCCCCCGACACCACCTGGAAGGTGCCCCGGCTGTTGCTGTCGCAGAAGCCCACGGAGCTGGCGGTCAGGCCCCGCCGGGTGGACATGATGGACAGGCAGATGTCCCACTTGGACACCACCTGGAAGGTGAAGTAGTAGTAGCCGGGCACGGCGCACACGAACCGGCCCGAGTGGCTCTGGTAGCGGCCCTCCTCGTTGGTGATGACCGTGTCGAAGATGACCACGTTGCCCCCGCCCGTTGGCGGGTTCCGCCTCACGGCCGAGAAGGCGGGCCGCGGCTGGGCGTTGATGTCTCCCGGGTTGCCCTTGATGCCCTTCAAGCCTGGGGAGCCGGGGCTACCCAGGGGGCCGCTGGGTCCTGGGTAGCCCATGTTGCCGGGGATGCCGGGGGGTCCCGGGTCCCCCTGGTCCCCTTTAAGACCGCGGATGCCTGTCCGGATGCCGGGGGCCCCTGTGGGAGGAAGGCCGGATGGGCGGTGAGAGTGCAGCGTCTGCCCATCCTCAGGCGGATGGCTGGGACCCCGAGATGCCGTGGGAGGGCGGAGAGGGGAGTGCCTGGGCCTTTAAGACATGGATTCTGGCTGGCCCCGTGAGCTTGGGCATCTCAGCCTCTCTGAGCCTCAGCTTTGTTCTCCAGAACATGGAGAGACGTGGGAGCAGGCATTTGGGAGAGTGTCAGGTTCTGTGAAAAGCAGGACACTGGCTCCTCCAAGTGCTTCTGGCTGTGGCCCTGCACTCCACACCTCACAGCCACTGACCCTGACCCCACTGACCCTGACCCCGTCTGTTTCAGGGACCCCACAAACTGTTACAAACGCCTCTGCAGAGCTTGCTGGTCTGCTGTGCCATGGGAGGCTCAGGGACTGTAGGAGACGTTCCTTTCCCATCTGGTCACATCCTCTCCCCTTTCCTTCACCCCCAGGCTTTCCTCTGAATCTGAGAGTTTCTGAAGCCCAAACGGAGAGGGGAGCAGGGCTGGGGGAGGGGCAGGTGGAAAAAGGATAGTTGCCATTAATTGATCCCTCCCTCTGTGCCCGGTGGGGTTGGTTCCCGATCTTACAGACGAGGAAACTGAGTCTCAGAGAGTGCCACACAGCAAACCCAGGCTCCTGAGTCTAAAACCTGAGTCAGCACATCCTGGTAACGGAACAGTGGCCGAGGCCTGGGCATGCTTCAGACCATTCGTATTCATTGCTGCAGACCCATTCCCCAGAGGAGGAAGGCGAGGCCAAGGAAAGAGGCCCCAAGCCATAACGAGGACAGGGAGAGGCCTGGGGGGCTGGGGACATGGTCCGGGGAGAAGGCCAGGCCCTCCTCAGACCTTAGGACCAAGTACAGACTGG